CTGTTTTGGGGATTCTTTTGGGGATGTGGTAGCGGTCTCCTTCAAGGAAAGAATGCAGGAGATGTTTTCCCAGGTTGTGCTGATGGCGACGACGGAGCTTGGTTTGACAGAGAACCCAAGGCTTCAGCTGGCTTGCGGGAGCAGGCGCGCACGTGGAGTTTAATCCAGCTCCCTGTGTAAACAGCTTTGGGCAGTGGTTGATCACGGACCATCGTATAGGCATAAAAAAAGACCAATCCGGAGAATCAGGTTGCCGCGAGCAGCTTCCCGTACCGTGGGACTTTCCCGTTCCGTGGTACGGTGCCACGTTAAGATTCCCCAAAGCCACCCACATGTTGACAGAAAGTAGCTTCTGCTAACGCGTCGGGAAATTCGACGCGAAAATCAAGATGTCGATCCCGAAAATCCATTGGTTAAAATGACTCAATCAAAATGACATCTCTCTCTTATAACATCCAATAACATCCAGGGATAGACTATGAAATCTATGCTCAGCCGGCAAATCAACAGTGGAAATGACGTGATATTTCACGTCATTTCCACTGTTGAATAAATTCAATTCAACATATTTCACATTTACACGGGAAGGGATCGTTTGCAGGTACAATTTTCCTACCCTATTAACCACTTTACTTTTTTCTTGATAAGAAATTAATTTTCACTTGCGAGAATGTGAAATCCAAATTGACCGCCACCCTGCAATTGTAGCTTCACCCAGAAGACCTGGCCATAGAATGCAGAAAAAGAATAGGGTATATTAATTCTATATTTCGCTCTCGTATTTACAGAAATAAATATCTTCTCTGTATAAATATTTTCTTTTTGTCGGCAATCTTGAACCTGCGGATGTTGTTTGGGAAGCGGTCTGGTACGACGAGGATTTTGACGTCACCAAGAGAGGTAATTGTGCGTCCTTTAACTCCTGCAATCCTTATATCGGAAATTTAATGTGAGCGCTGGTTTGTGTAGGCGCTAATCGGTTAGCGATGCTGGCTTGTGGGCAACATGCCCAATGATATACGTACACTATAAAGATATACAGTACATGCCCACCGAACTGCGCGCTAAACCTTTATGCCAGATCTCTCTCCCTACACAAAGCGCCTACCGCGCATTTTATACTTCACAATACACAGCATGACAACACAGCATCTAGAACAATCTAGAGATCTAGAGACCTAAATCACAATAGACCCCAATGATTTTGGAAGCTTCCTAATGTTTAAAATTTGATGCTTTTAATTACTGTAAACCTGCGCTGGCAAATTCTTATGTGTATTGGCTGATGCTAAATAAAAATCTGGAGACTACACAGGGTCACTCGATGCCGCCGGCACTTCACTAGTGAGGCGGCGAAACGCGTGTAAGTAGAAGGTTTGGAGTCGGAAGTCGATCGAAACCATGTTAGATCGACGTTGGTAAAATCTGAGGATGCGCAGAAGTTTGGCGTGGTAAACTGAACATATACATTATACAGTACAGTAACGTTTCTGTGCACTGCCGAGCAGCACTGGTAATAGTGACCGTAATACTTATCATAATAATCCTATAATTCATTATGTTTTTTATTGCGCAAATGTAGTATTTGCTTTATTAACTCGCAAAATGAATACTTTTCTTGAGCATATGTACTTGTTTGACGGAATTGATGACAACGAGTTTATTTTCCTTACGGATCAGCGAAAGCCGTTATGGAATGCAGATCGTAAGAAACAGTTTTGCTTGAGCGATTTTAATGACGTAGAATGCGAACTTAATTTTCGTTTTGGTCCTCTGGAGTTACCCCGACTTCAAGCTGCTCTATCTATTCCCGATGTTGTACGGTTAGAAAACGGCTGTATTGTTTCGGGTATTGAATGTTTATGCGTTCTTTTGAGACGGCTGGCCTTGAATGGCAGACTGCATGAAATGTCGATGATGTTTGGGAGACCCGGTAATGTCATCGGGAGAATCTTTTCGTGGTGCATTGATCACATTTATGACAATTTTGCCGATCGTTTATTGAAGAATTTGAATTCACCATACCTCACAGAAGCATATTCAAGAATCTGTGTCGAAGAAATGTTGAGAAAGGCTCTCTGTTTGACAATTGTATTGGCTATTTGGACGGAAGACTGATCGAAGTATGTCGTCCTTCTGGACCTGATGAGATTCAGAGACAGCTGTATTCATACAAGAAATACCACGCGCTTAAGTACCAGGCATTGGCCGTGCCAAACGGGTTAATTTTTCAATTTGATGGACCTTGTGTCGGGAAACTCCACGACAGTACCGTATTTAAAAGGGAAAGCTTTCAACTTGTCGCGCGATTCACTGTCCCCACATAGTATCATTAGATTCCTTGGAATTTATGGAATTTGTTATCCTGCAAAAGGTTTCTCCCAAGCAGTAAACTGAAGTTGCAAAACTTCGAAGAACCCAGCAAAGTAAAGATGGCTGATTGATGTGAGACGTCAGATTGCGATGCTCATCCACTCTACGCATAAGCTTACGTTGCATGACTGTAAGCGCGTCTGTTAAATCGTATCTGTGTTCTCCGCTCACCGTTACACCGCTTATTGCCAGCGAGATCTAGTGAGCTGTGAATTTTTGAGTGACTCATCACGCCTCCATACGTACGAAACAGCTGTACAGACGCAATGCCGCATTGTTGGATTTCGACCATCGCAAGCTGACGTCAAGATTGCTTTCAGCCCTCTTTACAATGTAGGGTTCTTCGAAGTTTTGCAGCTTCAGTTTACTGCTTGGGAGAAACCTTTTGCAAGATAATAAATTCCATAAATTCCAGGGAATCTAATGATTCTATGTACGGCCAGTGAATCGCGCGACAAGTTGCAAGCTTTCCCTCGTTAGAAGAAGTCACCTTGCCGAGCGCCTGGAACATTTGAATAACAAATTCAGAATTCGCCCGGATAATCGCTTCATAGTTTATGCTGATAGCGCTTACGCAAAAAGTTTGTATGTGATGCCTGTCTACAAAAATACGGCCGTGGGATCTTGGCGAGCACGAATTAATGACGAGATGAAGCCACTTCGCATTTCAGTGGAATGGGGCTTTAAAAAAGTGAAGCAGTTGTTCCGCTTTATTACCGACCGAGATAACATGAAAATATTTTTAACTCAGCCCGGGAAATACGTGCCTGTTGCCGTAATCTTGACGAATGCTCATACTTGTTTGTATGGAAGCCAAACCACCGATTACTTTAACTGCGCGCCTCCTTCATTGGAAGAATATTTCGGTTAAAAAGGGACGAGAGGAAAATGGTAATTGTGACTATTTTCTACATTTAGATAGTTTTGACAGTGCGCTTTTTAGAATTTTTTTGTTTTTATATTTATTACCACTTATGTAGTCCGCATTATGAAAAGACCCTGACTGTAACGACGTGGGCCGGGCAGCCTTGCATTTCACATCTGGTTTTCCAAGGCCGACTCAGTTAATGATTTAATGGCTGATAACGGGCTGATCAATACAAGATTAGTCCAGCTAATTTTATTGATGATTTTTTCGGTACAGTATTGAGTTTTTCATTTTTTTACAGCCGAGTCCCAGCTGTGAAATCGCCTGACTGCGATATGCCTGTATTAAAACGCGCTCTGCAAGCGCCTCCTTTATCCAATGCGTTGGAAATTTATGCGGATTTGTATCGCACACACAAAACGTTCCGGAGTTTTAATGAACCGGCTTCTATGGGAACCGAAATGAAAGGATCCCCTACTACACGCTTACACGCGGCTCTAACCCAAGAATCTCCGATAAGCCTGTCACGCTGATGCCCACACACTTGCTATCCAATTTTGGAGGCTATTATGGACTGGGCCTGGCGACAGCGCGGAATCCCGGTACGATGCCGGCAGCCGTGGCGGCTGTGGCCGGATCGGCTTTTAACAAAGCATCACCGTTCTCCTTCGTCTCTCCGGCTGCGTTCTACCCGGCCCATGCGGCAGCCGATATTCGCCTATTGCATCACCAAATTGGCAATATTAGTCTGTATCCACAGGCGTTTGACATGTCGCTGGCCTATCTAGTTCCCTAGCCCAACAGGTATGTTTTGTCGGATGGCGCCTTCCCGAAGTTCTTATTTGCCCTGACCGGCACACTACCGCCGCAAGTCAGCTCATCTGGTTAATTTGTCTCCCATGTACCAAATGCCTCCGTCACCGGCCAGTGCCTCTTCGTTTAAACGTCCTAATGGAAACAAATGTCGCCGACGCCGACGAGCCAACAGGTTTGAGGAGACATACTGGTGACCGGAGCGCGGTTAGTCGTTGGTTGTTTTACTAGTACGGAAATTTTGGTTAGATAAGTAGTAGTAGGTAGTGGGATGTTAAGAGTTTAATTATTGTTTAGGGTGGTTCTGTGTGCGTGTGCTTGACGGGTATATTCGAATAGTATTAATCTCGCGGCAAGATTTCCAGTAGTTGTGCTGTTAGTCTTGATTTCACTGCGACGATATAATTAAAAGAATTTATTCTATCATGCGCGACACTTACTGACGTAAGATACTGTAGTATTCTAGTAATTATTATTGTGAGTATCACACCGATTCATACGCGCTAAACCATGGTTCCAGTACCGTTTACATGCCGACATTGTTCGATCAAAAAATGCCAAAAGCAATGCTGCTCTCTTTAGTTAAAAATTTTACTTAAGATGGAAAAAAGTTAGCTGGTAAAAACTTAAAATAAAATGAAAACAAAAAGCTGAAACCAGCCGCTATCGCTTATTAAGTAAGTACCGTACTTCAGAAACGTAATACAGTAACTGGTATATAAACCGGCAGTAATTAACTGCACTAGTTTTTATTAAGCAAAAATGTCAGAGTTTCTCGCAGGAGACCAGTTTGCTCATCCCTAGAAGCCGCATCCCGCTCGTACTTTTTTTTCTCGAAGTCACGATCTTTGTCTTGTTTCTCTCTTTGAAATTGCCGATCCTTTTCCCTTTCTTCGCGCTGGAACTCTCTTTCTTCTCGTCGATCCCGCAGCTCCTCTCTCCGCAATTCTGCATCCGATCGAAATTTCTCCTGGAGTAAGTTGTCCCGATTTTTTCTTGCGGATCCCGATCCTGCGAATTTCCAAGGCGAATGAACTACACGCTTCATCCATTTTTTGACAGGAGTCCCGCTGGCCGTGTACAGTTCTGGGTGTTCTTCTTCATGGCGTCGGCGGGCTTCATCTATAAAATGGGTCAGCTGGTACTGATAGCAGGAGATGTGACTAAATTAGACAATTACCACAATACACAATGATAGTCACCCTTTACAGACAATCAGATTCACCTCGACAAATCTATAAAATCGGCTTTTAGTGCCTTTTACTTAATAGAAGTGATTTAAAAATCAAAAGCGAACGAATGATTAACCGTCTTCATCCGAGTCCCAGTTTGCATCATCGTTATCGCTTACAGTGGCTGATTTCTTCGACAGTTTCTTCTTGGCGTCGTCTTCCAGTCTTTCTATCAACTCCACATTGTGAGACTCTTTTTCTTTCTGAGCATCTGACATGTTTTTGCCTTCTTCTTCAGCCGCTGAGACACTTTCAAGTAGCAACTGATATTCGGTCGGCTCAGGCTGTTGTTCATCACCAGTCGGATCAATACTAGGAGTCTTTTTAGCTCTGTATTCCACCAACAAAGTTCGCACTCGGTCACGGCCGTACTTGCTGGTTCTGACTTTGTTGGGTTTAGATATTTTGTCCGCAACTTTCTGCCACATACTTTCTCTCTTTCGAATGGGGGAGGAGAAAGGCTTGATGTCCACCATGGCCTGCAGAAGCTCGAAATCAGACTCCTGCATAATGGCCGATTTACGGCGCTTCGATGCTTTTTCTGAGTCTGCGGGTGCGCTATCTAAATTGAAATTTGCAAAAAAATCATAAAAATTGAGAATATGCAGCATAGCGGAGCGAAGAACTTGCCCGAAACTGCAGATAAAGGCGAAACTGGCTGACTTTCTGCGGGATTCATGGTGCTCTAAGTGCTCTTGCAGAGGACAGCAGTCATAACACGCCAAGTCAGCAACAGCAATTCTGGCGCCGTTCAAAATTATAAACATAAAGACAAATAAATTCAGTTAACATAACGAGTGTTCTTCGTTGAATAACAAAAACAGTATCAGGCACCCAAAGGAATAAAATACGGGATTTTACTAACGGCAAACTACAATTTAAAATCAAAAATAAAGTATTAACTCACACCATGTGCGTTTTGTAAAGTCGGACTTTATTCGCCTCGATCGACTTCCGACTCCAAACCTTCAACTTACACGCGTTTCGCCGCCTCACTACTACTTGCTGACAACGCATGACCACGCATGGTCTTATATAACCACATTGTGTGCAGGTACAGCGTACGCTGCATCTATCACAAGCTGTCCCCATTTTCTTTTTACATATGGTCAAAATATCCTTTTGCAAGGACATTTTTATCTGCGCCAACTGCGTCAGCTCCAGTGCGAAAGCAGCGCTTCGAGGTGATGCGGGCTAACTGTTTATGAATGTCGATTGTTGACATTTTGCAGGCTGACCGAGATAAAATGAGCGAGCTGCTAAGCGAACCAATAACAAGCGATCGAACTGTTAAATCAGGCAACAGAATAACAGCAAAGGTCATGTCTACTTAAGTTCTAAAGTTCGTCGTCGATCGGATTCGAGAAAACTATGTTGTTCCTCCGAATCATACAACCAATCTAGAGGTCAACTGTTGTTTTACATTTAAGCATGTGTAAAACCGGCCTTCGTGTAAAAACTTACGCTATAGTATGCTAAAACAATTTGAGTGTAAGCAATGACAGCAACGACACAATGAGTGGAGTGGAAAACAATGGTGATGCATGGCTGCGAACAACGCTTATACAGGCATCCGGCCAAGGCGGATCCACAGCCGCTTGACTGCAGGGCCACGGAGATGCCCTTTGGAGAGTGACCGACAGTCACCGATTCACCAAAAGATTGGCGTATTAGTCTTGCTAATTTTGCAAAAAAATGTTAGAGCAGGAAACCGCAGCAAGCAATTCTAAACTTTGCAGATTTATTTTGCTATTAGATTTATTTTATTCTAATTTTAGCGTGCGGCGCAACAAGGCTAGGTTTGTTCGAATAAGCAAGACTACCAGTCACGTCACTTAGACACAAAGTTCATTATACGTATGGCACTGATCGTTCCAGAGTTCGTAAAACTGGGAAACAGATACATAGTGAATGCAAATTCTGTCTCTTTTCTCGCATTCAGTCTCCTTCGTTCCAGGCGACCAAGCCATTTCCGGTAAAGAAACTCTGGATAGATTGGCTGCTTTTGCAAGTAAGCCTGCTATGTAAACATCATCCAAGAACACAGTAGGAATTTTTTTGCTGAAATAAAGAATCCTTTTTATTGTCTTTGTGGGCACTGTAAAAAACATTCCTGAGGAGTATTCGGGAAAAAAATCAGGACCATACTCCTCCCTTGGAATGCCATATTTAGTGTCCGGTCTGCGAACTACGGTTGAGCCAGCGCCGATAGGACTACCATACACTGCTTCGGTAAATTCCGATTTTTTTAAAACCTCATAAAATTTTGGCAGATTTAACCAGTTATCATCATCAATTCTAGAAGTAAAAACCGCTTGGGGACAGAATGTTGCAACCCATTGGTATCCAAAAAGCGTTTTTGTCGATGACGAGCGGTACTGATCATCATACTTATTGGCTTGTATTATATCTCCGTACATTGCAGCTTCCACCACTAACTTCGATGAGATTTCCTTGTCGAGAATTCGCCCCAGCAAGAAGTACCTGCGCACACCGCAGATGGGGTTTGCTAAAGAGCCCCAAGTTTTTCTGATTACTTGGCGTCGATCAAATCCCCCAGGTTTGCTAATTACCAAAATCACCAGGAAAGGCACAGTACCAACAATGCCACAAGGCTGAGGAGTCAATGAGTAGTCCATAACAGTCTTGTGATAGTCTAGCGCATATTTATCAGATCCATTAAATTTGGATTCCAGCTGATCTTTGATGTGAAAAATTAAGCTGTCCTTCGATAATGATTGGATCGCAAAGCCTGATTTTTCGATCCTGAAATACAGCATTATAACCGTGCACGTAATGCCGATGACAACACCAAAAGTTGCAAACCGCGTGAAAAATCGACGCGTTTTAAAACCAAGCACCGTTAAAATCATAGCAGCCGGCAACAAATCTGTTTTTAATTCCTTATTTCAAAATAAGAATAATTTTTTCCAAAAAGGGCAACCAAAGTTGCGTCGTTTCTCGATCAGCTAACCATAACAGCATCGAATGATTTGCTTTTCATAGCGATAGCGGATCAACTGCAAACACCGACAGTCCATTTCGTGAATACAGAAGAAGCGTAAGATAACGCCTTTAGGCCATATGTTAAAATGGTGAAATATAATGACAAAACAATTGCTCCAAATAAAAGCTACATGACACAAGCACTTATGCAGCTTGCGTAAAGAATTTGTTTCGAGTAAGCTCGACTGCTCTAGAATTTGGAAAACAAAAAAAAACATGTAAAGCCTAAGATAAGCATGGAAACGAAAAATCTTAGATAGTTTAGTAAAATGTCCGCTCGATTTCGTAAAGGGACGACATTGTGTTACGGCGACTTGGTGCTGGTCGACGAATTTTTCCCCGAAATGGCGGGTCAAAACCTGTTATAATTTACAGTTCCAACAGCGCTTCTACTTGGTGGCCAAACAATTCTAAAACTTGATATTTCTGATCCGCTCTCTTTGTCAATTTAAAATAACGATAACTGATTAGAAAAATTCATAATCTCTCTGTGAGTAAGCAACTCTTGCAGCTTTAACTAATGCTACCGACGCACATACTGGCTCAGGTGATATACGGTAATTATGTCACTACTGCCAGAAAATGACGACAAAGGCGAACAGAACGCCATCTCTTTGTTGTGAAGGTAAATTCGAATGAAGTGAACCTGACTAAAAAAACTTGGAAGCGGAATGATCGCTGTGCTTTGGTGTGTTTGGCAGAGGATACATGGCCTGCGGGTATCGTTGTCACGCGGCCATGGCCAGGTTTATCGAAGTTCAGTAGTTTGACGGAGGTGTTGGTGGCATCAGCCGCCATCAGGGCGGGTGTAGTCGGTGCCGCCGCTCTCACGCTAGACTAGTTTAGTTTAGTCGTTCCTTAACCGCTTTTCCCCTCGTATTCAGGTTAGCCGCAGTGAACTGGTGGAAGTATGCTTGCCGTTGTTCTAGGGTCTGGCATCTTGCAAACAATAGTTGGCGCAACTAAGGCTCGAGTACGCTGACTTCAGAGTAATTGAAGACAATTTTATCCAATATGTCAATTTTATCCAATATTTTATCCAATATTCTAGCTCGCTCCTTGAGGGTTATGATGGCTTTGTAAAATTGGCCTGTGCTTTGAGTTTGCGCCTGTAGGTGCGCCTCGTGATTTCTACTCAGAGCATAGATTTACGATCGTTCCTGCGACTGGCTACCTACTATCGGAAATACTCCCGAATATACGCGCATAAAACGTCACCAGTGCATGAGCTCCTCCGGAAGGACAAAAACATCAAGAAGGATTGGACTAAAGCCCACACGGCCGAGTTCAACGAAATGAGGAATTCGTTAACGGAAGCGCCCGTACTTGACCCGACGAAAGAGACCATCATCGACTTTGATGCAAGCGGAGTCGGACTACTTGGCGCGGTGCTATCACAGCGTGGACGCCCAGTCGCTCACGGCAGCGGAGTACTCCACAGAGCCGAAGTCAATTACGGAGTTACCGAATGGGTATGCCTAGCCGTGGTATCGGCAGTGCAGAAATTTTAGCAGTATATCGACCATGGACCGTTCATCGAAAAGACAAATCACCGAGCACTGCAGAATCTGCTTTAATGAGAGTCGAACCGACTCGGCATCATCCCCCCGACTGACACGTTGGGCCGTGGCACTACGAGGCCGGGATATCACTATCGAGCATAAACCAGGCGCCTTCTGCCATAATTTGCATGCCTTGTCAAGATGGGGATTCGAACGGAGTGATGACAAAGACCCACTGAAAAAGTAAAACAAGTGCCCAACTTCGAGGACTGCACGATACGAACCATCATTCGAGAGAAAGTCAACGCACGGGAGAAAAGCTGAGAGACGAGGAAGAGGAAATCCCACCCCCTGCTTCTCCCACGTCGCAACCTCATGTCGAACTGGCATGACTTAAATACCACGGAAGTAAGAGTCATCAACATCACAGCAACGGAGACACCGGAACCGACTATTAGGACCGTTAACACGGCGGAGAAGACGAACGAGCAAAACCCACTTGGCGAGACACTCGTGCAGCCCGCGGAACCGAACGCGGAATTACGGAAACCGCAGTTGCGATACCCGCATCTACGGAAAAGTATCGACGAACTGGAAAACCAGGACAAACTCGACCACAAGTCGAAGTATCCAGTGCACTACCAAATGGCTCAAGGAGACCTGTATTGGATCAAAAGGATCAACACGAATCTCGAACGGTGCTTCCTTGCACCGCTCATCATGCGGAACGAACATTGTACGGTCACCCCATGTGACGGAGAGATCAGTACGATAGGAATAATTACCGTAATAATCTATCCTACCGACCTAACTCAACGACAGAGAATGAGCTGGTATCTCAATGTGGCATAGCTAAGCCAATGAATCTACGCGAAGCGAGAACCGCATCTCCGACGATATTTAATTCTAAACTCCGATCACTGCAAAACTCAGAATAAGAAAACTGATCCCCAAAGTACTGCCACTCACGGACTTATACAGACACGGCGCATCCGTGTAGAAACAACCAAAAGTAAATCCGAAAACAAAAGAGAAACGCCGAGAAAGTACAAGCGAATAATGGAAAGTACGAGTAAAGCCGTCACTTTACGTACTGTACTGCTATATCACGTCACCCCCGCAAACGGCTTTTGGGGAACCCAACACAAAAAGAACAGGAAAGAAAAGCAAAAAACAGGAATAAAAAACTAAACAGAGATTTCTCACGCTCTCGACTGGACAAAGTCGGGCAAATCCATCCTCCGTCCAAGAACGAGTGACTGATCCTACTCCAGATGACTGAGATGGTGAGAGAGGAGAAGATCCTTGACGGGATGAAAAACTGAGGGTGGGCAGGAAGAATGAGAAGGTTGGCAAAACGGCAGTTTAAGAGCAGTCGGATTGAAGAAACAGGGAAAACGTCGGAACGCAACAATAATTTTTAGTGGCCGAATTTTAATCAAGTAAAATAGCCGATGAAAATTAACGCAAAAAACATCCGCGATGGAGAATAAAAATAAAAGAAAACACCACTTTGTAAAATAGTAGGAAACACTTGTGAAACGCACGCAGTCAGCATAATAACCGAAGGTGGTTAAAAAAGCGACTCAGTCGGCGCACGTACAATCCCCGAAAGACGGCATTCAAAAAGGATATCTTCGAGAATAAAATCCCAGCAAATTTACAGGCACATTTCGAAGTTTGTCCACATCGCTGTACTTATCTTCATACACCATTTTCAAAACCTGATCATCAACTTCAATTATATTTTTTGCGTCCGCTAGAGTCTGATTCACAATTTCAGGACTTTTACACTCATTTGTGTCGATGCGACGACCGGCCGAATCATACTCGTACTGCACACAATTTGTAGTGTATCGGCTTTTACTCTGCTACTGCGTAAGAGGAATTTCAACTTTTTCATTCTGGACACTGCTGCACACTTCAATTCTGTTTTCAGTTTTACACATTTCATTTTCATTCATCACATTTTCAAGCACATTCTCAGACACTTCAGCATTTTCACATTTCAGCAAAACATCTTTAATAGCTTCCTGCATATTACACCAATAATACCTGGTGGTCAAATACTTTTAAACTGACACGCCGCGCGGTAATAATTCATTTTTCGCACTTCGTTCCTGTACAGACATGATTAGTTTCTGTTGCCTTTGTCTCGGCACTTCAATTCTGTCAATACCATTTTCAGAACGCTTTCGACAAAGCAAACCATTTATCACAACCATGCGATAAATTTCTTCGTTTTCAGATTTATTTTTAGCTTTAACAGGGTTTTTGTACAAATAAAACCAGTGTCTGGTATCACTGTACCTGCGCTGTTCGGCTTTCCAAAACTCTTCATTAACCAAATTTTCAGCGAATAAGGCTTTACCAGTATAAATGGGCTTACCTCCGCAAACTTGACTGGACGCAGTCGTTTGCAACGCATCGGGCGGTAGCTCACGGGGCACCGTTCGCCCCCGCAAACTTGAGTGCTGCTGCACTTCCGTTTCCACATTTTCAGTTAATTTTGAATCGCACTGTACAGTACGAATTTCCAATTAACGGGCTTCCGCATTTTTTAAATTGTACCGCTTCAACACTTCAACAGGCGGTTTTTAGAAACATCTTTCCATTTACCTACGAATGTACAGTAATTCGCTGGGTGCAGCTTATGGCATTTAAAACAGATATGCTGACCACAGTCAGTACGCCATTTATTTACGTCAATTTTCACATTTCCAATTATATACGGGTTTTTACCGTAATTACTGTAATTTTCACAACCATCAAACACTTCTTCATATTCACATTCGTCATCACTCATACTTTCAGTTTCATGCGAGTACTTTTGTACGTATTTTCATAGTCATTATTTTCATCTGAACTAGCGTTTTCGTACATTTCTCTTTGACATTTCAAAGTGTACAGCGTTTTTAACTGAGCCATTACGTTTTCAACAGTTTTAGGTTTGACAAAGTCAACTTTTCATACCACTTTATTTGCGTTTTCTTCAGTCCATGAGTGAGTACAGATACTCTTTCTTCTTCTTTAGTGCTCAAAATATTAAACCAGTTTAAGAAACCATCAACATACGAGTTCACCGTGTTTTCTTCTGTGAAGACACGTGCATACATTGCTTGTCGTATTTCGGCCGGGTAACTCTCCGAAGAGAAGTGACTAATTAATACCGCTTTCCCGTAAATCCAGTCTTGATCTGGATTTGATATTTTATTTTCCACATACCACAAATATGCATCACCTTTCAGTGCATATGACAATTCCTTTTCAATCAGCTGTTTTTCAGTCCAACCATTTAAATCTCTACATCTTTCACAATCCAGAATAAACCATTCCACTTTATCGCTTTCTTGTGTACCTTCGTACATTTGCGGGTATTGTGTTTTTCTCGGTTATCAGATTTTAGCTGCATTTCTTCCATTTTCGACATTAGCGCTAGTTGGCGCTTCATTAATTCATCGGCACGTGTTTTTTCTTCGCGATATTCACTTTTAACTCGTCCACTTTTATTACGCAATTTTACCAATTCAGCATTTGAGGCACTGTTTTCAGTGGCCATATCTGTATTGCGGCCGCTTGACGCATGTCATATGCGATTTGCGTTACGATACTTTCTTTGAAGTGCAAGCGCTGTATACAGCTGT